GGAACCACGTCTCGAATCCCAGAAAAACTGGTGAAATACAAACACCCGTTCCGATAAGAGTTCAACCATACAAAAATTATCGAATTCCGACATCGTATTGGCTTTCAAATCTTCATTTTATATTTTTGGAAGATTTTATAAAAATATGATTGTTCTTCCATAAATTCACGGATTCATGAAATATAATTAATATAGGATAAGGAACACTTACCCCAATGTTTTCCCGTGAAAATCGCCCAAAAGTCTTCTTACCCGAGCTCAAAATCAAAAATGATGGAAAATGGGTTGAAATCTCATTTCCAGAACTTAATTTCTGTTTCCCAGGTTTTTACTCTTCGCGAACGCGGTCAGTGCCTCGCGTTCGCGAAGCACAAATTTGTGCCGTCCAACATTGCCCTTCGCGAACGCGATGCTTGCCTGGCTTGGCCTTTGCGAACGCGAAGGCAAAATTCCTGGCCAGCCCTTTTCCTTTCGCGAATGCGATGCCCTATCGCGAACGCGAAGAACAACCCCGCCTGCCTCCAGCGATACCCGCTCAATGCTCATGCCCAGCAACTGGTTGGGATAGGTGATGGCTACAGACTCCCCGATGATGAGGATATCAACACACCTGAGCAGTCTGAGGTCGAGCCGGAGCAGTCAGATGATGTGGACGATGATGAGGATGAGGAGGAAGCACATGATGAAGAGTGGAGAGCCCTAGAGGATGAGGACGCAGTTTGATCAGGGAGTTTCCTTGCACCCTACTCATTTTTCTTGTTTTATCAATTTGTGCATGCACTGAGGACAATGCATGATCTAAGTGTGGGGTGGCGACTTGTAGAAATTACTTGTAGTTGCTTGTTTATGTTATTTTAGTAAGTGTCGTTTTCTTTAGATAATTGTTTTAGTTATTTGTTTTAAGAATTTATTTTAGTGATTTGGTTTTAGTGCTTTGTTTTTGTTATTTGTTTTAGTTAGAAAAAAAATTATATATATATAGAAAAATTGGATTCTTCCCGACGATGGATCTTCTAGACAGTTTTCTTGAGGGAAGTAAGTCTTAGAAAAAAATACCAAAAAGTTTTTTTTTTTGTAGGTAGTGTAGTAATTTTCCCTTGGTTTTTATTTGGGCCACGGTTCTTTACCAAGGGCTTTTAGTTGAAGAGGGTGTAGTTAGTTTTAATTTTTAGGAGTAGGAACCACATGGCTATGCATTTAATTGCAGCAATATCTCTTAGCTTTGTTATGCCTTGAGAATAGTTAGTACTATGGTTGTGACGTTTATGCTCGATTTTTGACTCTAGTATAAGTACCTTAAATCATAGATTATTAATTTTGCTTACCTGCTTGGACTGGAGTGTCGCGATAAAATCAATCCTGAGTGAGTTATGTGCTATGTATGTGTGAGTTTTTATATGTATTCTGTGCATTATATTTGATGTCTAGAACTTACCCCATGTGTGTGCAAAGCGAAATAGTAGTCTTGTTCAGTTTAGGAATTGATATAGGCATTTCTTTGTTAAGCCAGATATATATAGTTTACCCACGTAAATATATCGTAGTTAACCCCTTTGAGCCTATAATCATATTTCTTTGGTAACCACATTACAAGTCGTACCCCTTTGTTTGAATTGATCATAAATTTGAACTTTGTCACTGCTCATGAGTACTTGAATTGTGATGAATTATGTAAAAGTTAAAGTGTGGGGTGGTGGGTTGGCTTTTGAGTGGAACAATTGAAATGAGGTGAAAGGTGCATTGTCTTGAAAAAAATAAAGATGTCAATAAAAGGCACTTGAAGAGAAAGAAAGAAAAAAAAAAGATGAGAGAAAAATGATAATAGTGTATTGTATGAAAAATAATTCTTGATGATGGTGGCCAGTGATATACTTGTGCTTAAAGAAGTAGGGGCTAATATAAAGTGAAGTTAAGGTGGAGTTTTGGTTTGACATAAGTATGGACTTGAATGTTAAAGTGTATGTATTAAAGTGCTTAAGGGAGGTGTAGTCACTTATATCCAAATATATCCTACCCGACCCGCAACCTACATTACAACCAATCAAAGTTCTACTTGATCTTAGACTGAATGAGCTCGATTAGTAAAGTATTACACTACGGGCAAGCCTATTGTGCATCATTTGTGGTATATGAATGTTATTTCTGAGAGCGAGTGAATTTTTCCTATCTTGAGTTCCTACGTTCTTAAATCCATTGTATGTGGAACTGAGCTCTTTGTTGGGTGATGGCACATGATTCATAAAGGAAAGATAATGTCGTTGACCTCCATGTTAGAGCAAGTAAGTGAATTGTGAATAAGTCATGGTATTTGTGAGTCAAATCTTGAGGCGAGAATGTTACACCTTGGTGCTTAGACTATTTTAAATATTCTTGGTACAATGAGTTAAGGGAATTGCTTAGCGAGGTTGTGTCTGTAAGTGTGGTTTGATTGCGCGAGGACACACAATATTTAAGTATGGGGTATTGATGTGTGGCTATAATTTCATAATTTCGTACATTATTTGCCTTGCATTTTATATGCTTTAATGATAAAGTACACTTTAATTGTGCGTAACTGAGTCTATTTTATGTGTAGGTGAATTGGAGATGAAAGTAGAGCAAAAGGAATACTTAAAGTCTAAAATGTGCTCGAAAAAAGCTGAAAAGAAGAAAGAAAGAAGTGAGCAGCCTACGAATGAGGAAGTTGGCGAAGCCAAGCCTAAAGTGGGGTCCACCAGGCTTTGGAGCTGGCGACGCCAGGCGTAGGGCGAGTTCAAGCTGGCGGTAAACCTCGCGAGGCCAGGTCTGGGCGTGCACATTTTGAGTTTTAAAGACTTATTTCGTCTCCTGGTTTGACTAGGACTTGGACTACATGTTGAGATCTTTTCTTACACATATAAATAGACCTAAAACGCCACTTTTGAGGACTTTTGCAACCGGAGGCAAGGATAGCTCGTGGAACAACCGCTGGGAGTTAGACTCATTGATTTCTACATCCCTTTATCCTTACTTTGTAATTTAATTATGCAAAATACTTTGGATATTGTGACTATGAGTATGAGTAGCTAAACTTCTAATCTAGGGTTTTGATGGAACCTATTGGAGGATGATTTTCATATTACGTTAATATAGATTTGCCGTAGTATTTTCTCTATTTGTTCAACTATATTATTATTGTTGTTGATTGAAGGACCCTTAATGGACTGTGCCTATTTTGTGTGTATTACTTGGGAGAGAGTGCATATTTAGGTAGTTGTTGAATAACATCACTCCTAACGTATATGAGGGATCAATACGAAGGGTTTAAAGGTATGATTAGCGATAACGAAATCTTGGTGCGATCTGAGTGAGCCGTAATTAATGCCAACTAGCGTAATTCTGGAGAATATGTCTAGTAAATTATCGTAATTACTCGGGAGAGAGTTACGACAGTCAAAGTGCTCATGATCGATAGAGAAGACTTAGGCAAATTTATAGAAGACGTAGCGAAAAGGATTCTGACACTAGGGGAAATCATAACCTTAGATCATTCCAATTCTTGTCTACAAACCGCAGTAGTTAGTTATTAATTGTTGTACTTTCATTACGTAATATTTAGTTAGTAAACATCCAAATTGTCACTTAAATATTTCTGAAGATTGATTGCGTAAGTTCATGCGAGTCTAGTAGTTGTGTTTGATAGGTTAATTCCCTGTGGGATTCGACTCCGGACTTATTAGCCGGAATATATTTGCAACGACCGCTTAGTCCTTTTTATAAGGCATAGTTGGGCGTGATTAGAGAACTGAGTGAATTGGTACTCTGAGAGTATGCACATCGTCTTTATCACTGATTTGCATCGCATTTGGCATTCACACTTGACATACAGGCATAGAGATGCATTTTTTCTCATGCTGTATAGTATCGCGTCATTTATGACTTCTCATACATTTTGACATATGGGCATAGAGAGACATCTTACATTTGCTATATGAAAGGAAAATAAAACATCTTATTGATTGTTGAAAGGATTCTTAGGAAAAATCACAGTTTTCAAACTTACTCATATTTTTGGCAATTTCGGTAAAAGATTTGGATTTTCACTGAGATACTTGAAAAGTATGCCTATTTTCTGAAACTGTGAATGAGCTGAGCATTTTATTTCTGAGATACTCCTTTTATTAGTTGTACTATGCTGTTATGAATTGTTGTGGGATATTGGTACTGGACCCGACATTTATTCTAGCTCGTCACTACTTTCAACCTAAGGTTAGGTTTGTTACTTATTGAGTACATGGGGTCGGTTGTACTCATACTACACTTTTGCACCTTGGGCGCAGATATTGACTGCTGACATTGATGTGATCGACGGAAGCCGGAATTGAAGATGTACCTGCGTTCTGGTTGTAGCTGCCTTTTGTTCATGGTAGCCTTAGATCTATAAAACTCTGTTTATGTACTCTTCAAACAGATGATGTATTTACTTCATTTTAACTTTGTAAACTCTATTCTTAAAAGCTCATGATTTGTACTACCAGTCATTGAGAAATGTATAGGATTTAGATTTTTTTTACTTAATTGCCTTATTAAATTTCATTGGAATTGGATAGTTGTTAATTGGCTTACCTAATGGGTTGGGTTAGGTACCATCACGACTAGTTGAATTTTGGATCATGACAAGTAAAAGCTGACATCCTTTTATTATTGACACAAATTATTAAAAATGAGCAAAACTTTATAAACTGATCAATATACACTAAGAAACATGAAGCTGAAATTTAACATGATATGGATCCAAACTACAGTCTATATATAATTTTGAGATCAAGTATTTAAAGCTAATCCATAAACAAGTACCAAATGTGCTAACTATATTAAAAGACAGCTTCATATAAACAAGATCGAATCTCAAAATAAACTAGAAGACATAATAGTTTTCTAAGATGTACAATCAAATAAGAAACATAAAACTAGAAAGAGTCCCAAAAACTGATCAAGTCATTGAATGCAGGGAGCATTATAATAAAAGATTCAATATGAAATTACATAATTAGTAATCTTCAATTAAAGATTCAATATAAACTTCACAACAATTTAAGGTATCTCATTTACAGAGATATTAAGCTTTCCACTGAAGTATTTAGTGGCTTTTACAATTACCAGTGTCATTGATCTTCTGATAACAAGACACATATAGACCTTTTTAATTTACACCCCTTCTTTTGCCAGTTTCTCCAAAACATTCATCAGAATATTTTTTATTTCATGAACGTGTATAAATCACTACACCGAAGCTTAAAAATTCTTCAACGATGACATGTCTAATGCATCAGTAAAGAAGAAGAATCAAAAGTCAATGAACATTATAAATAAAATGAAAGAACTCACAAATTTCATAAGATAGAGAAAATGAATAATGGATAGGGCTTGAAATGTTGCTTACCCTATGCCCATAGTACTCCAATAACAAGAACAACTCCACCATGAAGTTACCATCTTTCAGCTCCATTGCTGCCTACTACAATTGTGATAAAAAAATTTAATGACAGAAAGAAAGTGTTTTACTGTATTCTACTACTCAAATTATAAAAATTATTCATCAGACCTATATTACATTTTGTTAAAGCAATTAGAGTCACCATTCACTAACCATTAGCGCCAGCGCGTAAATTGCTCTAACATTTCTTAAATCGATATCATGCTTAAGTAAAGATCTGATAAATCTAATGCAGTATTCTCACTTAAAAAGACCTATATGTTTGTGAAATAAAGATTCATTCAACACTAGCACGTTAATATACATTATAGAATCAAGTTTATCAAGGCAATAAACTAAAATAATGAGACCTTTAAAGAGTAGAAAAATGGCACTTGATCCAAAATGAACGGATTTCACCCACCAAAGATCAAGGACAATGACAATTTAGACATAGACATCTGTTAATAACTATAGTATAACTGGCCAGCACAAAAGTCAAAGAATGATAACACCAAGAGAACATAATGGAACCTTAAAAAAATTTGGTATGATCAACTTGCAATAAAAAATAACAAGTAGATCAAGAAAGAAAATAATATTTTATAGTTGGCAAAAAAAATTGAACTGTTAGCTAAGTTATCAACCATTAAAAGGCCGATTAAATAGAGCTAGAGAAAAATTTTAGAACTTTACACTTTTGCTAAGCTTTCTCTTACCTTTTCTATTGAAAAATAAAATCTGGATTTTCAATCGCAAAATCCAGCACGTTGCTTCCTCCCTTCCCATCACCTCCCCTCCCCTACCCCACGAACAACCCAAATGGTATCAAGTATCAACCTATTCCTGCTATAAAGAGATTAATTTTAACATGCAAAACTACAGAAGCAACCATCATCATGACAAAGTGGTGTGCAAACTAGAGAATATCAGAATCTAATTTATTGGATTATTCGCACAATAAGACTATAGTAAAGAAAGCACCAAAAATCTCAAGATTCACCCAAACTATATGACTCTATTTGTACCAAATTATGATACTTACGAATCATCGTCTCCATCTAGTTCTCAAAGATTTTCAGGAAAGGATGAACATATACTTACTTGATTAGCGAACCCCCAAAAGAGTATCTCTTACTGAAATCACTACGCTTCTCCAAAGCTCGATCATGACATAGAACAACCATAAATCTTGGATCCAAAAAGTTGAGAGTCCTATCAGCACGAGCTGTAGGGTAAATTATTGCTAAGAGGAAACAATACAAACCCAAATCCCCCAAAAAATGCAATAAAGGACGAGTTCGCCAAATCCCAATATATATAACCAGATCTGAAGGAATTTTAAGATTTTATTTCGATCTTTCCTGGGTTTAGGAAAAGTAGACTTTCTCACATGTGATTTACCCATTTTTCCCCTCGTTGATATTCCAAAATGGCATACGAATTTATAATGGCAAAACCCCCGCCACTCTTTCACAAATAAATCACAAAAGTTACAAAATATACACCATTTATAAATTACATAGA